TTACCAGCTTTCCTGTCCCCTCCTGTCTTCTAGTCCTTGCTCCTGGGATGGTGTGCCCCTTTAGTCTCATTTTGTTTTATGGGCCTGTTTAATCTTTGGCTGAAAGGTGAGCCTCGGGAGTGACTTCATTACCGAGCTAAAAGGGTGTCCGGGAGCCATACTCTAGAGGTTTCTCCAGTCTCTGTCAGACCAGTAAGTCTGGTCTTTTTTGAGTTAGAATTTTGTTCTACATTTTCTCCAGCTCTGTCTGGGACCCTCTATTGTGATCCTTTTCAGAGCAGTCAGTGGTGGTAGCTGGGCACCATCTAGTTGTACTGGACTCAGTCTGGTGGAGGCCGTGGTAGTTGTGGTCCATTAGTCCTTTGGACTGATCTTTCCCTTGTGTCTTTAGTTTTCTTCATTCTCCCTTGTTCCCGAAGGGGTGAGACCAGTAGAATATCTTAGATGGCCGCTCACGGGCTTTTAAGACCCCAGACGCTACTCACCAAAGTAGAACGTAGAACATTGTATTTATAGACTATGTTATGCCAACTGAGCTAGATGTTCCCCAAGACCATGACTGGGGTTTGGGGTTTTTAATGGAAGTTAGGGGGTGGGGTTAAGGGGTGTGAGTTCCCACAAGTGGTTTGAACATCCTGCTGATGCCATAGAAGGGAGCCACTTGGGCCTTCTTTTCAGCTTGTCCAGATGTAGGACAGAAGGGGAAGAAGGAGGGGTGAAGCTTAAAAGATGTCAGCAATCAGACAATAAAAATGGAGTCAGGTTCTTTATGCCATTCTCATACCATAAAATCCACACATTTAAAGTTTATAATTCAGTAGTTTTTAGTATATTCATAGAGTGTTCTGTAGTATATATATTATAGACACTCTAATTTCAGAACATTTTCATGACCCCAGAAAGAAACCTCTTACCTGTTAGCAGTCACTCCCTATTTCCTCATCCTCTCAGCCCCTGGCAACCACTAATATACTTTCTGTCTCTACGGATTTGCCTGTTTGAGGCATTTCATATAATGGGATTATACAATACGTGGCCCTGTATGTCTGGCTTCTTTCACTTAGAATAATGTTTTTAAGATTCATTCATGTTATAGCATGTATTGGTACTTCAGTCCTTTTTATGGCTACAATATTCCATTGAATGAATATACCACATTTTGTTTATCCAGCTATTTGTTGACAGACATTTGAGTTGTTTCTACTTTTTGGCTGTTATGAATAATGCTGCTATGTACACATTTGTGTGGCAGGTTTTTGCATAAACATATGTTTTCAATTCTTTTAGGTATATGATTAGCAGTGGAATTTCTGGGTTGTATGGTAACTCTATGTTTAATGTTTTGAGAAACTGCCAAGCTGTTTTCCAAAGTGACTTCACCAATTTACCAATTTCCACTAGAAATATGTGAGGGCTCAAATTTCCCCACATCTTTTGTAATACTTGTTATAGTCTGTCTTTTTTATTTTAACCATCCTAGTGGGGGTGAAATGGTACCCCACTGTGGTTTTGATTTGCATTTTCCTAATGACTAATGACGTTGAGCATCTTCTTTGGAGAAACGTCTTCAAATTCTTTGCCCATTTTTAAATTGGGTTATTTGTCCTTTTATTGTTGCATTGTAAGAGTTCTTTATATATTCTGGGTACACGTCCCTTATCAGATATATGATCTGCAAATATTTTCTCCTATTCTCTGGGTTATCTTTTCACTTTCTTGATGGTGTCCTCTGAAGCATAAAAATTTTTCATTTTAACCATATCCAGTTTATTTTTTACCCCTTTTGTTGTTTGTGCTTTATGGTGTTATATGCTTAATCAGAGGTCCCAAATGTGTATGCCTATGTTTTCTTGTAAGAGTTTTATAGTTTTAGCTCTAATATCTAGGTCTATGACCCATTTTGAGTTAATTTTTGCATATGGTGTGAGGCAAGGGTTGATCTTCATTCTTTGCATGTGGATATTCAGTTGGCCCAACACTACTTGCTGAATAGGCCATCATGCCTTTTGATAGCTGAGCAAACATGTATCTTTATTCATTTATTTATTAAATATTTGTTGAGTGCTGTTCCATGCACTGAGGTTCTAGACTTGAATAGGACAGACATCGATATGTAAATAAGAGTTCCAGAAATGGTCACTGTTATCGTCTATGTACTATGAAGGTTCAGAGAAGGCTAGGCCAGTGAAGACTTGAGCAAAAGTGAAGACAGCTTGAAAGATGAATAGAAGCTTGTCAGGTGGATGGATTAGCTTGTGCAAAGGGACAGAGGCATGAAGCAATTTGGGAATTATAAGTAGATGATTGTAGCTGTAGTGGAGGGAATTGGGAATGTTGGGGATGAGACTGGAGAAAAATCTGGGTCTAGCTCATGAAAAGAATGTGAACTTTCCTGTAGATGAAGGAGAACAGCCCAAGGATTCTGTGGAATTGGAGGAGGATGTAATCAGCTCTTTGTTAAGAAAGGTCTCTCAGGTAAAGGGATAGAGGGCGAACAGGGCAGAGTGATTCTGGAGGCAGAAAGACAAGGGTGGAGGCCACTGGGGCAAATCGGGTGATGTAGTGAGGGCTTGCACCATGGGAGAGACACTGGTGTGTAATGGAAAGGAGGGTGTGGCGTTCAAAGTGTGAGGCCAGGAAAATGTAGATCAAATGTATAGCCTGGAGAATTACACATAATTTAGTATGAGTGATAGGACATACAAGTTGGAACTTGTAATTAATAATTCACTTAAACATTTTAATTGATGGTGAGGATGACCGTTGGCACTAATGGTTAGGTCTCTTCCATTAAGAGGAAGGCCCAGGGTCGACCTGAAGTGTTAAGCTATTTCCTCAGCAGAAATATGCCTCATCAATGTTTGGTTCTTCATGTGATGAATTTAGGCTTTTGGTCAATTGTTTTATCAGTTTACATATATGTATATATGGCTCCTTTTTCTCTCTCTGATTTTCTTCAGTGAACAGTAAAATTTTGTGAAGTAAACAGAATTATGAAAAATATGTCATGGAGAACTGATAGAGGTCTCTGTTTTATTAAGTCAGGATTCTAAAGTATTTTTGGATGATGAACCCTTTTGAAAATCTAATGAGTAATTATGGATTTGTCTTCTGAGGCGTCTGTAGGTGGGTTCAAACCACCAACCTTTTGGTTAGTAGTTGAGCACTTAACTACTTGCACCACCCAGGGACTTTTTTTCAACTAAGAAAACCCTGTGGAACAGTCCTACTCTGTAACACATGGGGTCACCGTGAGTTAAATTGACTCAGCAGCACAAGAGAACAGTAATAATAAATTACTTTTAAATTTCTAGGTACCATCTTTATTTATCCTGAATGAATCATTGCTTTAAAAAAAAGATTTCCCTTGCAGTATAGATATTATGTTAATTGGTTGATTTTCTGAATTCTCAATGCAGACAGTTTGACTGTGCGTTTAGTGTTGTACAGTCTCCAATATTCAGTTTCTGTGTAGATGAGCTTCTACATTATTTTATTCACTCCCTAACATATTTTGATATCACATGAAGACCTAGCTCTTCTGATGTCAGAACTTGAGTGTAATCTTGAACCATATAAACCCATTCTCTAGTTGATTCCGACTCATAGTGACCCTGTAGAACAGAGTAGAACCGCCCCATAGGGTTTCCAAGGAGCGGCTGGTGGATTCGAACTATCAACCTTTTGGTTAGCAGCCAGGCTCTTAACCACTACACCACCAGGGCTCCCTTGAACCATATAGCTCTATTTAAACAGAATCTTTGTTCTGAAGCAGAATGTCCTGGCCCACATAGAATGCCCTTTTTTGTGCATGTGGGCCAGTATCACCAGTCTTTTGATCTCAGGTGACTATTAGATATACTTCACATAAAAATGCAGAGAGACTCTAAACCTAGATTTTCGCTTTTCTGTGGGACCTTACGGCTAAACTCACTGTAGAAAACAGAAATTTTGGGCTTATGAGACTGGATGATAGTCTCTAAAAGTCTACCAAAAAAAAAAAATCTGTTACACGAGTTTCTCTTACCATCCCCCAGGCACTCCATCATTATAATTCACTCTGACTTTGAAATCTATAGGTAGAAACTGAATACTGTCTGTTACCTTGTGAAATACAGAATAACATCACAACAGATCATATAAGAGCAGTAATATAAGAGCAGTAACTTTTCCCTAGACGGTGGTTGTGGGTGGGAGGGGTTTCCTTGCGTGTTCATCATGGTCTCTTTATGTAGTTAGCTTTTCATTTTTTAAGGAAGGAAAATGGCAAGAGTCAGCTGGGTATTCTATCAACCACAAGCTTCACTGTTAGTCATTCTCAAAGATTCTCATAAATGTAGTGTAGCCTCACTGAGCTCAGTCTTTGATGGAGAGACCGGGTTCCTCAGGCACTGAAAACAATAACGATGTTAACTGCAGGGCTTGGAATGCAGCTTCAGAAAGCATGTGTCGCACTGAACAGGTAGCCTGTTAGCCATGTTCTCATGGGAGAATCCTTTTAAGCAGTACAAACTTGCAAGCCATCTCCCTAGCAAAGACAGAGTGGAGGTGGGCAGGAGTCAAGATTGACACAGCAATTCTGTGCTCCCTTGTGGTTTGCGATCAGCAAGCTGTTGCCCATACATGCAAAAGGTTGTTTGAAGTGAGCTTTCCGGTGTTTCCATAGCAGCAGTCACCTGAATGATTTCACTCGTTTTTGGATTCTTTTTCCTTCTCTATTTCTCGCTGATGCAGGATTAAACAAACAGCATATTTAGGTCAGGGAGAGAGATGTTTGCTAATATAAATGCCAGGCTGAGCATTCTGGGAGAGGGATTTCTTGCAGCTGATGAGCACGCTTTGTGCCTCCCAGCAGCTTCTGCAGCAGGGTGGCTGTCTGGCACTGTCTCTTTCATTTTGGGCAGGTTCTGAGATTCAGAACAATCCCAGGCAGATCACTGGAGCCGGCAGTTTTCCAGTAACCCACGTAAATCTTCTGCTGGCTTGTGCATTGGTGTGAACAGTGAAGCTCTCTGTTGGAAAAACGACACTTTAAAGGTTTTGGTGCATCCGAGGTGTGTCATCTTGTTTTTGCACCACCCCTCCTGTCTTACACTCCGAGCCTGGATTTTTGTCAGGCTGTTGGGCAGGGAGACGATTCTAGTGCGGCAGCTCGGAGCTTCCTTCTGTCACGGTACCAGTGACTGCTTGTCTTGAAGATGGTACAGTGGGAGACTGTTTCTGAAGAGCCCCAGAAGTGATGTGGAAATGAAGTAGAGATTGCTGGAAATCCGAACATCCACGCCTTGGGGATGGGTTGCACTACTAGTGTGATTCTGTTCAAAGGCATCCACACCGTGTTTGAAAGGAACTGTGCTTATATGTGCAAACAGCAAGGAGAGAATAATGTCCTTGAATATACAGCATACAATTGGACAAAAGAAGATTCAGAACTATTGATCTCCTCCTCTCTGGTAAATGTTGTCTTGCTTAATTGACAAGCAGTTGAATAGTGTTTGAATAAACCAGTCTTTACCTGTAAAGCAAATACATTTATATATTTACTTATTTCAGCGTACTTGTATGTGCATAGTCTGTGTGTAAAAATGGGGAATTGGTGGCCTCCAGTTTGAATTATTAGGTGCCTGTTTGTATGAGAATGCTGTGTATCCATCAGAGACAAACACACAGAGAGGGGCTTTAGTAAGATATTCTATTGCAGAATGTTTTTTTTTTTTTTAAGTTAGCTTTATGAACTTACATGATCTTGCTATTACTTGGCCAAGTGTGTATTTAGGATATTATGTATCTGGATTCTCTAGCAGTTTGGTGAATTATTCAGCCCCTCTTACTTGGCTAGGTTTTTCTTACTAATGGCTTACAGGCAGTGCTACCATTCAGGGGGAGAAACTTAAAGGGAGCATGGAAGAAAACTGTGTGGGCTTGGGAAACATCTTTACAGTATTATTCTTTTTAAAAAATCCAACTGTTTGCAGTGTTTTGTGGGGAAGGCTTTTGAGAGTGAAAGGAAGCTTAATTGGACACGACGCCTGTGTGTTCTCTCTGCCTTTTCCGCACACAAGGAGGTAGAGAGGCTCAGATGGGTGTGCCTCCCGAGGGCCTTCTCGCACCTACCAAGCTTCTGAGGAAGCTGCGTCTTGGCTGCCTCCTCCCTCAGGACACCTTGCCTTTACCCTTCTGTTCCTATTGCCATTTGTATCGGAACGATGGAGAATAATACATGTGAGAGTTGCTGTGTGTGGGTCTTGCCAGCAGCCCCTGGGTACCGCAGCGTTGCGTGCAGGAACCCTGAGCCCTTCCCCGGTTGTGAGGCTGCCACCCCAGATTGTGAGCCTGTGGTGGTGTGCCACACATACCTGGGGATGGGACTGGGTTGTCTCAGCCTTGCAGGAGCCTGCAGAGAGGGTGCATTTTGTGGAGGGGCTTGTGTGACATTAACACTTAAAATGCTTGGGAGGAAGGAAAGGAGAGAGTGTCTCTCGAAGCATCAGAGGCATTTTGGAAGTCAGTGTTGTGTGTGCGTATGGGACTTAAGTGGTGCTATATTAACTGTTCAATATTTTAAACTCTAATGTATTTTGGGACATGCTTTTGAGAGTAACTATCAGAGTTAGAAGGGCCAGCTCATTGTGGCGTTCTGTTCCCTCGGACAGTACAGCCCATAACCCCGACGGCCCCTAGCACCTACGTGGGCCACTACTTGCAGTCAAGCTTCTGCTCCCTCAGGCCAGACTGACCTGAATTTGGATAACCTGCCTTTAAGAGATTACGCTTATTTTTATTTTATTATTCTTTTCACGAGGAATAGTATTACCCTGCCGGGGGCTTTGTTTTTGGCCGGGGGCTTTTACAGCGCGCTGGGACTCCTGTGCATTGTGTCTCACCCTCTCTGCCCAGCAGCAGAGGCAGATGACATCACGGTACGTGCAGGTGACGAAAGTGCTGCTGAATGGAAAGACCCCGTCTCCCTGCTTCTGTCCTGGCCTCCATGGTCTCTTCTCCACACCCCAGCTAGAGCGGTCCTTCAAAAACAAAGCCAGACCTTGCCACGCCTCTGCTCAGAACCCTTCAGCAGCGCATAGTCAAATCCAGAATCCTTACAGTGGCCTTGTAAAGCCTTCCAGATCTGGCCCCGTCACCGCGCCCCGGCACCTCCTGCCCCCATTGACTTCTCTCTTCTCTTCTCCTTGTTCCTCACTTTGCTGCAGCCACACAGACAGCCTTCTCTTCTCTCTTCCTGGAACAGCCTTTATGAAGGTGTTTACACAGTTCATTCCTTGAGCTCACTCAGGTCTTTGTCACATCTCACCTTCTCGGTGAGGTTTCTCTGACTGGCCTGTTCACTCTTTCCACACCCTCAGCGTGCCCCTCCTGCTTCGCTGCCTTCATGTCGTCACTGCTCATCTCCATCCGGCACACTGTTCCTCAGGAATGTTGGCTTCAGTACAGGCGCTTGGCTGCTAGCTGAAAGGTCAGCCATTCGAACCCACCAGCTGCTGCCTGGGAGAAGGGTGTGGTGATCTGCTTCTGTGAAGATTACCCCTTGTGTTGAGTGGATCCTGATTCATAGCAACCCTACAGGACAGAGTAGAACTGCCCCACAGGGTTTCCAAGGAGTGGCAGGTGGATTCCAACTGCTGACCTTTTGGTTAGCAGCCGAGTTCTTAACCACTGCGCCACCACCGCTCCTATGGGGCACTTCTACCCTGTCCTGTAGGGTCACTATGAATCAGAATCAACTCAGCACAATGGGTAATCTTTACAGAGGCAGAAGCAGACTATGGGGCATTTCTACCCAGTAGGGTTGCTGTGAGTTGGAATCAACTCGACAGCAACGAGTTTGGTTTGGTTTTTCTATAGTAGCAGTAATTAGTACTAATAAGTGTAGTTATAGTAATAAATGTAACAAAGTTTTATGACAGCAGGGATTTTTGTCTGTTTTATTCATCACTGTGTCCCTAACTACTAGAACAGTGCCTGGCTTATAGTAAACTGTCAATAAATGGAATGAATTCGGATGAAATATAGTTTCACTGTCCTGAACTTGAACTTGGAGAAGCTAGCCAATAGCTACTGAGAAGATAGGTTATAATCACTATTATTCCAAAGTCTATAAGAAAAAAATTTTTGGTGGTTTCACCCAAACAATATCTAGCTCATCTTTGATAATTTCTCCCAGCCTCTTCACTTATTCAGCTACCTAGAATTATACTTTCCAGTCTTTTTGTCCTGGGGTTCAAGTCTAAATATTGCATGGGTTTGCTATGGCCACAATTGACAATTTCTTGTTCTGTCTTTGGATATTATCGAGCTTAGCTATTGGGCCCTATTCCATGGTATAGGAATTTGGGGGAGCTCTGGTGGTGCAGTAGTTAAGTGTTTGGCTGCTAATCAAAAGGTCGGCAGTTGGAATCCACCAGCCACTCCCTGGAAACCCTGTGGGGCAGTTCTACTCTGTCCTTCCTATAGGGTTGCTATGGGTCAGACTCAGTTCGATGATAGTGGGTTTGGTTTTGGTTTGGTATTGTCCTTTGGTACAAATGATTAATGTGCTCAGTTGCTAACAAAAAGGTTAGAGGTTCGAGTCCACCCAGAGGCACCTTGGAAGAAAGGTCTAGTGATCTGTTTCCAAAAAATCAGCCACTGTAAACCCTATGGAGCACAGTTCTGCTCTGACACACATGGGGTCACTATGAGTCAGAGCTGACACAACGGCAGCTTTTTTTTTTTTTAAATGTCTTTTGAGCCCCTCAGACCCTCTCTTAAGGGAGCCTGGCCCACTGGCGCTCTTTTGGGGCATCTGCATGCAGAGGGAGCTGCCCTCTTTAGGCACACATAGGTCCTCATCAGGCTCCTCAGCCTTGGTGGGAGGGTGACTATCCTGGCTCCAGCTCAGGTGACTGCTCTAGCCTGGGGATCTGCCTCAGGTGAGAGGGCTGGACTTCACCTGCTCCTCATAGAGCAGAACCGCCCCCCCCCCCCCGCGCCCCACAGTACTTACCAAACCTCTGTGGAGGGAAAGTCATATTCACAGAGGGGAGCCTAAGGGGCTGGAGGTCCATCCACCGTTCTTCTTGAGACTTTGAATATCTTAACCATCTGCCCGTCAGTTAGAGACCCACGGGCCTGGCCTGCCTCGGTTTTGCCTCAGTGAAATTTCTTCTCCTGAATGGAGCTTCAGTGTTTTTATCTTCGCTGACACTGAAGAACATCATAAGAAACGTCCTTAGGAAAGTGACATCTACTATAAGGATATTGTTGAGGGCATTGCTCGTTTTGAGAGGCTGTCTAGCATAGTGGTTGAAAGTGCAACTCTGTGGGGACACCCTTTGGGTTTGAATCCCAGAGCCACAGCTTAACAGCCATGTGACTTTGGGCAGTTTACTTAACTGTTCCATTTTTCAGCTACCTTCTCTGTTACACGTGGATAATGACAGTGCCTGCTCATAGAGTTATGAAACGAGTGGATATATCTAAAGTTTTTCAGACAGCGTCTAGCACGTAAGTGCTGAGTGCTAGCTAGTGTTATCATTATCAGTATTTCTATTTTTCAGTGTCTCCTTTATGAGGAACCTTGGAAGAAATTTCTTCTCTCAGTATCGGGAATAGTTATGCTTTTCCTGAGGAACTGCTTTGTTTTTATTATGTATATTGTGTTTCATGTAACTGATCTCAGCCACCTCTTGAGTTGACTATTAGAAAACTTAGTTCCAAACATATGACCTAGTCTTTCAAAATGAATTTTTTTTTATATTACGCTTAAATTTGGGGCCTCCTTTATTTTCCTATATTATCCTTTTATCATAGCCTGGTTTTCCTCATCTGCTTATTAAAATACTTTGTAATCTTATTTTGTATGTACTTATGTAAATCATTTTAAATCCTTTAGGAACAAGGCAGGGTATAGATTAACAAGCAAATAGAGAACTATACAGTGAATAAAAAGCTCCCTTATCTTTAAGGATGGCTCTGAAGTAAAGCACAGATGCTGTGAGTGCAGATTTTAGCTCTGTGTAAGACTGGGATTGTGCAGTCTGTTTTGGGAAGGGAAGGTTCTTTTTTTTTTTAATTGTACTTTAGATGAAGGTTTACAGAACAAACTAGCTTCTCATGAAACAGTTAGTACACATATTGTTTTGTGACATTGGTTAACAACCCCACGACATGTCAGCACTCTCCCTTCTTGACCTTGGGTTCCCTATTACCAGCTTTCCTGTCCCCTCCTGCCTTCTAGTCCTTGCCCCTGGGCTGGTGTGCCCCTTTAGTCTCGTTTTGTTTTACGGGCCTAATCTTTGGATGAAGAGTGAACCTCTGGAGTGACTTCATTACTGTGCTAAAAGGGTATCTTGGGGCCATATTCTCCAGGTTTTCTTCCAGTCTCTGTCAGGCCAGTAAGTCTGGTCTTTTTTTGTGAGTTAGAATTTTGTTCTCCGTTTTTCTCCAGCTCTGTCTG